CCAGTCTCTAATGGGGAAGATTGGGAAATGGAAGTCGGAATCCCCATTCCCTCTGCTAGCCACACCCAGATTGTCATCAAAGTCCATTTTCAGATTGCCCTTTCTTAGCCTGGCCTCGTTGGCAGAGGAATCCAACAAGGGGCCAGTGTGGTGTTGACGTGGAGTAAAGCACAGACCACCAACCCTGACTGGGTACCCGGGCTTTTATCTATCTGACAAATCTGTGCTCAGATCTGGGATGAGCATGAAATAAGCAGGAAGGAGATGAAAAGGTGGGATAGAGATGAGAAAGAGGGGGTGTGAATAAAGAGATTGTATTGTTCATTCCATAGACGCCAGGGTTGGGGGAAGAAGCCTCTCTTTCAAAAACTCCTAGACTAGACAATTCGTATTTCCAGCTCAATTCTTTTTCATCTCTCTGGCTTTCCTCCCTCCCTCTTCCTCTATCTGCCTCGGCTTCTGGATCTTCTCAAAGCTTCCCCCAGAAAAAAAACTTCAGCTAATTTTCTTCCCTTGAACAACTGTCAGTTTTGAAAAGCTGCCCAGTCTCTCTGCTGTGATTTTCAAAGGCAGACTCAGGGCTTAGACTTGCTTGCAGTGACAGCAAGTAGGTAGGAGGAGAGGGGAAGACAAGCTTCCGATGGGGGAAAAGGCACACACATGCGCAAGCACACACACCACACACACGGACATGGACACAGACACACACACACACAGATACGCTTTTCTGAGCAATGGTAAATCTGTAGTTGCAGGACAATATAACCTTCCCGATGTCAGAGAGAATGCAGGAAAGAAAAGCAGAGTAGAGAACCCATATTTCTGTTGTAGCCATTGGACTTTCTACACTAAGGAGGCAGGACCCAGTTTGACCTCTTCTGTCAAGACCAGAGAGTTATAGGGGTACTGAGCAAAGATATGTGGGCAAAAGTCCAGGCCCAGCTGAGCAGTTTTCAAATCTCAAAGGATGGATGTTGCTGGCCTAGGCAGCTTGCAGGCCAGAAGAGAAATGTGAGGTACAGCCACTAAGAATGCAAGGATCACAACAATGGGAATCGTTTCCCATGCTCCAGGTAAGTCCTAGCCTCCAACAGTACTAATTAAGGACAAGGGCTAAGAGTAGTACAGTTCTGGCTTGCTAATTTATGGCCTGAAATAGGGAAGACCACGTCTCCCCTGTTGCCTGTGCTTTTTCTTCTTCACTATTCAAGACAGGTGCCAAATGTGTCATCGTGCCTGATGGCGCCTGGCGCTGGCTCACTGGCTGTGATCAGCGGCCGACTACCTGACAGAAGCACTTTCCCTGATTACATTTTTAACTTGGACTGTGCCACACTTAGTTACATTCTGTGGGGGGCAGAGAAAGGGAGGGAGGGGAGAGCAGTGGACTAAGGAGGCTTACAGAAAGCTCGAGAGACAGGGAGCGCACAGACAGTCCATCCTACGTGCCCTGTATCTTCCACACTTCGACTTCGCTGAACATAGGCATCCAATTAACAGTGACGGGGAGCAGAAGTGTTGGAACCAGTGACAAGCTCCATCTTCCACTGTGCAAAATCAAATCAGAATGTGCGGCTCAAGGGTGGGGTGAGGATAAGCCTCTGCCTACCTCTTACTGGCAACGAGCTTGAGTTGTAGAAAGATACTTTCTGACTTCATCCCATTACTTAGTAGTGAAGTGACAAAAAAACAAAAAAACAAAAAAACAAACAAAAAAAAAAACAAACAAAAAAACCCAAACCAAACCAAAAAAAAAACCACTCACTCAGACTGATGGTTTCTTCCAGGCAAGTGGTGAAAAATGCTGATTTGGCTTATTTTATATCACCTGTGCCTCTCCAGGTGTGGTGGATGATTCGCTGACACGCTTATTTGGGAGAGCGGTTAATGTTAGGTAATTATTGGCACGGTGGCATCCACATATGTTTATGAATCACTAGATTTTAGAGACAGGCAGGGTAGTGGCCACAAACAATGAGGGCTTGTCTGTGTAAGAGAAAAACAGTTACCGAAGTCACTCATTGTTTCTCCTCTGTTGTCCATTCTGATTTTTTGTCTTCACTGTGATCTGGAGGCTTCCTTCAGCCTGCACCTTGTGGCAGGCACTTGGGTCTTAACCAGTGCGTCCCCAGTCCTCTCCACTGTCAGGGCCCACTCTCACGGTAATGAGCGATTACCTCTCATAATAGTACTCCAAGTGTGATTCAAATTCACACTGGCGAGTCTTCTGTGTTCCATTTTTAGCTCTGATGTAAGTAACAACACATCTGCTTATTAATATCATGTCAACGTTGACAATACGGTTCAGGTGAAGGTAGGCCGTTCTCTCCCTTTCAGGTCCATTTTGGACCTTTGCAAGTGTAGTCAACTCTCCTATGACATTCCACAAGCCTTGCTTAGGTAACTGTCATGGTCAAACAACCACATGAAAGTACTCTGTGACCTCTTACTACAGCAAAGTCACCATCCCCCATTAGTCTCTGTTACATGATCAAGATAATTTATGGTCTGTATTTTTTTTTTTTTGACACATACAGTGTAGAAGTCCAGCCCAAAATTGATTGTAGGAAGGCCTAGTGGAACCAGCAGTTGATGTAATGGCTATACCACTGAACTCCCATGTAGTTGACCACGGTTGGAGTCCTGGATCTGGTGGCTTAAACTCATGCCGGGCGCATGTGTATGCATGCCCAAGATCCTCAAAGGAGAATGGAGGATAAGGGATTGTGGTGTGGCCATCCCTCCTGGGGGGGGGGTTGTGATTTCTCACTTTCTGTCTCTCTGTCTCTCTCTTTCTGGCAAGCGCACGTGCCCTATAGCAAAAATCTCTCAAAAAAAAAAAAAAAAAAAGGCTTGGTGAGAAGCATTTTTGCTTTTCTGCCAAAATATTCCTCTAGGCCTTCCTTTTAGACCAAAGTAACATAAGGATTTTTTTTTTCCTTTTTTAATTGCCAGAGAGGGAATGCGAGTTTGCCAGTGGGAGACAGAGAGAGAGTGGGAGAGGGAGAAATCACCCCCTCACGGGGCTTGGCCATGCCACAATCCCTTTACCTCCATGTCGCCATCCTGTTAAGATTTTGGACATGCAAGCACACACATGTCCAGCATGTTTTTCAAGCCACTGGGGCCAAGATTCAAGCTGCAGTTGACCATGTGTGATCCAGCTCCTTTAACCGCTGCACTACAGGGCCAGCCCAAACAAGTTTTTCTTTTTCTTTTTTTTTGTCCAGACACTGCATGTACTCACTGGAGAGAGACAGATGTGTGTGTGCGGGGTGTGTGTGAAAAAGCACCCCACGTGGGGCATGGTCATGGCACAATCCCTTCTCCTCTATTTCTCCTTCTGTCCTGATTTTGTGCCTGGCGTGTCTCTCAAGCCCCTGAGTCTAGGACTCCAGCACACATGTGGGATCTAGCCCCCTTAACCAGCAGGCCATGGGCTGGCGGCAGTACAGAGAAATGTAAGGCGATTAATACCAATGTAACTAAATGAATGCTGATCTGCATCTATAAAATGGATTTTTTTTTTTATGGCCCATACTCCTTCACTCTCAAATCTGCAATAATTGTACCCATTTTCTAAGGGCAAAATTTCATACTTCACTGATCCTGACTCCCTTGTTATTGACGAAATAAAGGTAATATTGAAAATGACAGTGTCTGGGAAGTGATCTCAAGCTGCCTGTTTACTGCACACAATTAGCAGTGGAATTGGGAACCACTTTCTTCTAATAAAAAACCATCAGCCATAGAGTTGCAACTGAAATTCACCACAGTGATTTCAGTCGATAACTCTCAACTTCTTCCTCTTTTCCTTTTTTGAAGTTTTCTTTTTTTCCCTCTTCTCTTATTCCTCCTCTCCTCTCCAGCCACAGCACAATAGAATAATGAGCAAGCAGCTAAATTGGGCTGGCTGAGTTTCAAGAGAGATTGATGGTCTATGGAGCCTCAGAGGGACTGTCATTCTGAATTTCTTGTACTAAGATGGGTGTGGTGTTAAAAGTGAACTCTGCATGTGAGTGAGATTTAGACACGTTCTGTACTTCTAAACAGTCAAAGCATAGGAAAGCTTTCTGCCATGAACCGGGGGAATCTCAGCAAAGACCCTTCTGTCTTCTCCAACATCCCCACCCCTACCCTTTTACAAAAAACATCCGTCCTCTTTTTATCCTAATTATGCTTTTTTTTTCTCTCTACAATCTGGCTTTGAGTTTTAAAAATTCTGAGGCAGATTTTTATCTCCTCTGCGGAAACACCAGGTTCCGATCAGTCCAAATCACCACGATATTAGAGCATGAATCTGCCTGTAAGAGAGACCCCTGGCTGGGGAGGGACAAGCCGTGGCAAATAGGAACGGGTGGAGGTGGAGGGCTGGCTGCATCAGCGAACTGCCCTTTGCTTTTTGCTCCAGCTGGCCCCTTGGGATCTCTGACACTGGGCAGAGGAGTAAGGA